GAATTTTGTCCGTGCAGCCCATAGTTGGATTTTGCAACACAATCGACGGCAGCAAAAATGTTTACTTCAATTACAACGCGTCGAGTATAGAGAGTCTCGGTGCGATAATAATCGAAACTGCCTTGCATTACAATAGCCAGGCCTCGGCTCGCTCGGTGTCGTGAACTAGGCCTAATGACAGAGTACGATTGGACGGACTAGATTAAATCCATCCGATACCATTTATATAAGAGCGCCGGTGTCGCCCGAGTCGTGCACTGCAGCCAAGATTATTATTTGTACGGATCGCGAGCTGGTTGCGATCGCTCGGCGTTCCCATGCGAGCCACTGGTGTAATCGTCGACGCAGCTACCCTCGAGTTTTCACTTTCGCTGCTGGCTACAGCGAGCTGCCTCGAGTCCGTAGCGAGGGTATGGCATGTATGTGCGAGCTGCTGCACACGCCGTCGAGGCTCGGGGAGAGAAATCAAAAAGCGAGCCACACCCCCGTCGAAAGTTCTGAGCGGATGCTAGTAGCTACCTATGCTCTGTGTATACATGCAGTATGGTAGACTAGGAGCGCGCACGAGTTCAAATTAAATGGGCTTTGCGTATGCCGCGCATTATACCGTCGGAGTTATATCTAACCTCTCATTAGCGCGCGCATGTGCATGTGCGCGAGTCTGCCATTTATGTGTTCGATGCTCGGGCGTATTACGTAAGCGCGTGCGACTGAATGAGCCACGATATAACATAATACGGCCGAGCCGCGCGCTGAAAGACGAGACTTTGATTTCTAAATTCTAAATTATAGTCCATAGACGCCGGCTCTTTGTTGCGATCCGTAAACTTATACGCGTCGCAATGCACGCGCCGATACGAGTACAACAACGAGATTTGTGCGCGAAAAATTGCAGTTCGACCCGCGCCCCTCCCGACTAATGGGATCATCGCGAGCATTGAAAATTACTCGGCGCGCGATTTTATCATAATTTCTTCGATCCGTTGATTTCATTGGCGATAAAATAAAAAATTGAACCCACGCGTCGAATTCGAATCCAGCTCGAAGCAATTGAGATTACATCGAAGAGCAAACATCGCGCACAATGCCGCGCATCGAGCATTAACTTTAACGCTCGGGAGGAAAAAATCGAGAAAAAAAGGAAAAAGAAAGAAGCAAAAAAGTGACAAAGTACTCGGTGGAATTATCTCACGAGTCCGCGTGACACCTACTTGTCTCGGCGCGTCGTCGTACAAAAAAGCGAGTCGGAAAAAAGCCTCCGCTCGCAGTAGTCCCTTTCTGCGGGAAAAATGTACGTCTCCCTCTCTCATTTCGAGGCATATACAATTAAGTACGTAGGTTGCGGGCAATAAGCGCTTGGCTATATCGCAGCTCCAGTCCAATATAACGACCTGACGTTCACACATTGTTGCGGTAAAAGAAGATTTACTCCTCTGTGCGCTACGCTTACGCTGCTTCGAGCAATGACGAGAAACGATTCACACCTCCTCGCTCGGTCCCTAATAATAACAGTCGCGACTGTATACTTGGGTACTCGTGTGCGACGGTACCTGAGCGTATGTGTGTGCGCGCGTACCTGTGCTAGTGGCAGCGCTGCGAGATAATCTTACTACGAAGTGAGCGAGAGAACGAGAGCGAGAAGCCCATTATACGACTCGTCGAGCACGATCAACAGTCGAGGAAAGACTCGGCATTGTCGAGGTGTCGAACGCCGCGTCCGTAGCTCCAGCTATACTCTCCTATAGCCGATGAAGCGTGTACGGGCGCGCGAGCCCATATTGTGTCGCTCGGCTGCGAGGCTCTCTTATATACATTACAGCACCTCGATTATTATCCTAAACATCTTAATCCTCCTAGCGCAGCTGATGATGTGTACGGTAAACAGGCAACGCGCACACGCACGTACAGCGCGCACCTCTTTGTCGGATTTTCTCTCGCTCTCTTTGCTCTTGGCAACTTTTATATGCGCCCAAAGTAGGATATAATAACATCGGGAACGATTTGCGCCCATGATCATAAGTATGTATACATACGGACACGATGGAATCGATCGCGCCTAAATCTGCTTGTGGCTCTGGGTATTATGCTGCGTATTATGTACCTATATACTATCCTACTGCTTCTTGAACGGATTTCACATAATAACTTTTTTAGCTGGAAACTTTCACACCCGCATATCGATAATTGCGCTTAAGCTTTATACTTTTATCGCGCTGGAATATCAGCTTTCCGACCTAATGAGGCGAGTCGACCCAATGAAGCAATGTGTCGCTTGTACTGCTCGATACCGGACAAACGGGTTTGAGGAAAATCCAGAATCGAACGCGACGAAGCGTGCGAAAAAACAAAACAAAAGGGACTCGACGTAAACTCGATGAACTCGAGTGCAGAAGCGATTATGAGTTACGTTTTTAGCGTGAAGGAGCTCTGCCCTCGTGCCGATGCACGTTACGTGTCGGACGCGCGGCCCATCTGTCAAAACATCGCGCGCGCCGACCAAAAAAAACTCCATTCAATGCGGAGATGCCATTAGGAGTCGACACAATGAGAGCTGTTGGCTACTATTTGTCGAGGGTTCGTCTTTTTCGACCAGCCGATAACCGAGCACGTTTCCATTCTGATGATGCATTTGATAAATATAATATAGTGACTTGGATCTGAATTTAGCACGGATCCTATGATCTTGCAAATTGAACAGTTACTTTTTCGTTGTTGTTTATTGTTTATGATTCGGAATCATTCGCTGCACTACACATTTTTCTAATTTCTCGAAACTTGTGAGCACGAGGCACTTGATATTTCAAATTAAACTTTGACAGCTGCTGATCAATGTTTTCTTCACTCGACATATTTTCCCGCTTCAACTACATTCAAGGCTCAAAGTACACGTTTGGCAGGGAATGTAGAGAAAAATGTATTGACGCCTGCTTGAGAACATTAAGAAAGAGGCATAACAAGCTGCATACGCCTCTTCCGTCTATCTCAAAGTTCAATCGTTTTATAATGTACGCGCGTGGACGCTAGCCAAATTCGCCGTACTGCATTGTCCCCTTCCGTCCGAATGTTGGTCAGATGTCGATCGGACGGAGGAGAAAAATTCTGCTTCTCAACCAGCCGCTCTGGCTCTGTCGGTCGAGCTCCGCTGCTGGGAAAAATAAATGAAACAAGTAAGGCTTGTGCCAAGTAAACGATATTTAAATATATATGTACGAGAGAAGTTAAATACCCCGTCGCTCCTCCCGTCTACGGAGCAAACGCGCATACATTATTCAAGTAAGAGTCGATCGATTTCCAAGGCGCCGAGAAGCGAGAAGATGTTGAGCAGCCGATAGCTTTATTTGGCTCGCGCCTAAGCACCCTCTCTGTTCGCTACACTGAGCTTTTATGTAAGTGCTGCTGTGCATTTGTTCTTCGCACGAGCGTGTATACATGTATAATAAAGCTCGCGACGCGCTCCGGACAAATGCTTTTGTAATGCGCTTAGCGCTCCATTAAGTCGATGACCTGACCTCGCGAAAGCAAAGCCGAGCACGAGCCTATATATCTATACTCCGCGGCGTAAAGCTTCTCGTTATTTTTCGCGCGAGCAAAACTCGCGCTGCCTATTTAATTTGGCTCTGATCGAAAGCAGCCGCGCTGTAGATATATTCTGAATCAGCTGATATCGATATATTTTCGAGCAATCAATCCCTTCGTACACTTGACTTTGGAAATGGAACGTCGCGTTCGCGCCGATACTCGTGCGATGGATTTCATTGGAAGCCAAGGCCGGAAATCGATGGCACGGAGTATCTCGCGATCGATTCGTTTGCCCCACTCGCACGCGTATATATAGCTGATCGCGCAGCTAGCTACGTAGCATATCGCTGCGTAGGTGTATTATAGGTGTGCAAAGGAGCCTCGGTGCTCGTTACCCCCCGCTCGCGCAATCAACGAGCCAGCGTTAACCTATAGGATCGCTTACGCTCGACTATTGGCGGATTTTGTCAGCGATATCCGCCCACGCAACAAACTGCCGAGTTTCGCGTGCCGAGAGCGACCTTTTTGACTTGCCAGCACGCGAGAGTGAGAGAGAGAGAGAGTAATGGCAATCCGCGTCTGTGTGCAGCTCCCCCTCTGCGCACTACTCCTTCGCGTATAAATCTATATGCCGTTCGTGTATATGTGTAGTGTAGACTCGAGTCGACCTCGTCCTCCCACGCAAATGTCCCACTCCACATGCTCGTGAACCAGTGTGTGCGCGCGCGTACATTTTCGACGGTGCCAGATTATCCGCGCACAAAGGACGACTCTTTCGTACTGCGTAATTCAGCTGGCAAAAAGTTACTACGTACGAATACACGTGTGAATTGAGCAACTTCCGTTTATCGAGCCGAAGCTGATTCGCCTCGTGCGCTGCTAATGAGTCGCATTTTTCTTCGGTAGCAAATGATTGACGGGACGTTTAATTATTAATACGTCCGGTTTCAATCATATATCCGATGACCAGCTTTTATATTCCATCAGACGTCATCTCTTTTCACATAGTCGCAGGCTTAAGCTTTCATTAAATATATTTTGTAGAATTTGATGAGCGAGCAATACTTTTGCTCGGGATTCGCTCAATTTTTATTTGCATTGACATCATCGTGTTCGCTCCTCTTGAGCTTTCGATACATGTCAGCTGCTCGTTGTTGCACAATTTCCAAGCCTTTATTTACATGATTTTAGGTATTTTAATATCGAATCATGTTTCAACAAATTAATTTACGAATGGCTTATTTCATTCTCAAGTACTGGCACACTTCTTTTATCCTGTACAAACGTGTCGAAGATAGGTGCAGTGATTTTTTAAAATGAATTTTTCAGAACTAATTATTTTTCTTATTAATCTGTTATATATTTTTTTCGCGTGAATGTATTTACAGGCGCAAATTATAATAATGATAATATTTATTATGTTATATTTATAATTATCATATAATATTTATTCATTACGATCATTCTTTCCATTTTTATGTATATTTTTTGTTCTACCACAATTGGATCATTTCCACACACGCACGTGAACAATACTGTTAAAAATTCGTCATCAGATTCATATTCGAAAATCATCAAACAATCGCGTAATACACTTGAAAACAAATAAAATCTCTCTTACATAATTCATCGAACGAACAAAAAAAATTTTCAACGGCATCATGTCAATCATAATCGTAATAATTCGCATCACATAGAGGTTTTACATACACATATTCCTATTTATAATATTTATAATTGCGTTATATTTATAAATAATAATTCGTATTTTTAATTCGAAAAAGGTATAGTGGAGCTGCGAAACGAGATATCGGCTCTAGTTCGCTTTTTGGAGCAATATCAATGCGCTTCTATCTACAAAAGAGGTAATGAAGAAGAGAAATAGAAGGAGGAGGAGAAATAGAAAGAGGAGGAAGGAGAAGGAGATTTAGAGCAAAAGAGTTTCGAGAAAAAGTCGACGACTTATATTTATGATTACTCGTTTGATAATTCTCATCACATTCGCGCAGAAATTGCTACTGCACACTAGCTGCGCTCCCCCGGAGCACGACCGAGACTCTTTGCCAACGCGATTTTCGCGAGGCTAACTTTATTTATAATAATATTTATATTCGCCGCAGCCTCTTGCGAGTTGCCTCGCTTACGGCCGCGCTTCCTTCAATACTGGCTCGATAATTTAGCGAGTGCTAAATGAGTTAATATAGGTCTCTTACACGAATAAGTAATCTATTATTGAAAATTCAGTACATAGAATCATATACCATATAATCCTTTTAATGCGTAGGAAAGAGCTTTGCCCAAACTGAAGGACTATCTTTTGATACGTATCATAATTTAATTGTGGAATGCACATTCTGAATCGTAAATCGAGCAGTTTGTGCGTGGTTTTATTTAAGCTCATTAACAAACGTTTTTTATTCAGGCCCACTGACTTATCGTGCCTTTTTAATGCGATGTGCGTTAAATTTTAGTTTAGTTTCGTTATTATTATGAGATTTTTTTTATATAATTACTAAAAACATATCGACTGAGATTTTACTTATTGATACGCATTTATTCGTTTTGTTTACTTTAATATATAATATGTATATATTTATAATATGTATAACTTTAATCATTAAAACGACTCTCTTTACATTGCCCCGTGTGTCGCATACGTGTGTACGCAATTTTCAGTTATGCCTAATAAAATTATATATTTTGCAATTTGCCTCAAACTAATTCTATTCCATACGAGCATCGTTGGTTGTTTTTCGTTTGTTTTTTTTTTGTTATATTTCTTTTTGAAGCGAAACGTCAAAGGTCTGAAAAATCTTACACACGCGTAAACATTTATAACTACTGATCCGTCGCTTTTCGTTCAACAATTATAAAATAAAATTAATAATGCATAATTTACATATTTATAATCCGCATCGCTCGATCATGCAGTCACGTGCAGCTTTGGAATTGCAAAAGGACGAGCCGTCGACGACGATGGCGATTATCTCGCGGGCGGCTCTTGGTTCTCGGCCAGCTTGATCTCGCTGCAGTCGCGTTCGTATCACGCCGGTGAGAAAGGACGGTGGATCTGTGGTGGCTTCGGATTGCTCGTCGGCGCCGAGGACGTCGTCGTGGTCGTGGACGCTGGCGGAGGCGGCGGTGGAGGTGGCGTCGAGGTCGATCTCGTCGCCGGCGTCAAATTCGAGGGCGGACTGCCCCTCGACGAGGGCGTGTGCGGCGACGGGACGGCCACGTGCAGAGGACCGCTTCCGCTGCCCGCCGAGACGCTGAGATTTGTGGCCACCAGGGGCGGCGAGTGCGCGTCCGAGGACAGGCCGCCGTCGGACGAGAGCCGCGTCTGCGTGTCCGATAGCCGCGAGATGCTCTCGGCCAGTTGTGGGTGCGGATGGTGAAGAAGCGTGTCGTGCGCGTACAGACGCGGCGGCGGTGCGAGCCCAAGTGGATCCGGTAATCTGTAATATGGGTCAAACCTGATCGTTTGTTCGTCCGTTATAATACAATCTCATGCTATTGTACGAATAAATTAAATTGATGACGATGCGGCGAAAAAAAAAGCGAAATAATGAAGTCGTGCAAAGTGCGGTAGATGGAAGAGGATGCTTACCTCGAGCCGAGATCTCCTCGCGGTCCAACGGCTTGGAAGGGACTCGTCTCGGTCAGTCTGAATATGCCTCCGGAGCCGACGGGATGATGGCTGCTGTGCTGCGGACTGTGCGGCTCGAAGAGGAATCCGGTGCCGGGAAACTTGAAACTCGGCGTCGGCCCGAAACGGAAGCTGTGGCTCGGATCGAAGCGGAAGTTGAGCGAGGGCGTGCGAATGGGCCCGATGCCGCCCAGCGAGCCGATGGGCGACGTCTGTTGATGATGCGACGGCGGCGGCGAACTGCTCGGCGATTGCGGCGACGTGCCACCGAGCGATATGTCCGAGTCGTCGGTGTCGGAGCCTGGGCCGGGGCTCAGGCCTCGTCTGACGCTGCCGTTGCCGTTGCCCGATTGCTGGTGCTGCTGCCTGCTTGACGACAAACAAACAAATGACGTGCTCAATTATAGACATTGAATTGGAAATTGCGCACCGTTTGAGCGCGCGTGTATTATCAAAGTGTCAAAGCGAAACTCGCGTACTCGATGAAATGGACGGTAAAAATCGGGACATTTTTGCCATATAAATAGATTATAAATCAAAATGAATACGCGTACTTAAATAGGTTTGCCACTTAGGCAGGAGCAAGCGAGAAGTCTCTGGCGAACATTTCGGAGCTACTTTAATCGAATGACTTGGTGCTTCTCTTCGCACATCATCATTCCTCTCTCGGCGAGTCTCTTCCTTTGGAGCAAAAAAGAAAGAGAACAGCGTCGAGGCTTCGAAAAGCTGCTGTATGTGTATGCAGAGCGAGCAGTAGTCGCGCGGGAGGAAAGCGCAGTTAATCTCGTGTATGGCCACGAGCGCAGTGCAAAGCTCGAGGATGATTGATGCATTCTGCGCTTTTCTGCATTTCTTTGCTGCATCGTACACTTACACTCGTGCAAGTATGTGTGTGAGTGTATACCCTGAGTAAGTACAGTTGCTTCCGTTCAATTCGCCCTCGGCTCGAAATGTAAACGTAGCGATGTAGGGTCTCTGCCTCTGCTAGCCCGTATACCATTGTTATCGTTGTCGGCTACTTTAACACGAGTTCAACCCTTACAACGCTGTATTTACATTTTTCGAGGCTGCAGAGGTAAACGGAAGCGAGTCTACCTACACAGGTATCGACTGTATACGCGTTATAGGTACGCAGAGAGGTGGCGCATGCGCACGAGCTCGAGATGGAGGCGGCCCGATAAAAGTCTAGGATAGAATTATATACGCCGTATGCGTGCCTCTCTCGCTGCGCGTCCCCTCCTCGCTGTGACTTTTTTTTTGCACGCGCGCGTATATCTGTACGTTATTCCGACTCCCCTCCTGGTGTTGCACGGTTGGCGCTGCTTCTTGAACGTGAAAATTACGGGAGCGCAAAGTGTACTTTTCCTACAAGCCGCGAGAATAAAATATGCCGAATGGCGACGGAACTATAAAATTATGCCGTGTCAGCGAATTACCAAAGTACCTGCGTGTATCACAATTGTACTCGAACTTTCGCCATGGATATTTCTCGGGCATTTGTGATTTGGCAACTACTTTCGAAACGCACCCGAACTACTGTCTAAAGCGTCGCGCACGGAGCTAAAACGTCTACTTGGCCTGTCGAGGTGGAAAAACAAAGGCGAGTCGCGCACGAAAGAGCTTTATGGAGCAGCCAAGTTGTTTTGGGATCGCTCGCTCGCGCCTCTCTATGCACACGGCGCACGATAGTAGAAGAGCAGAAGAGGAGAAAGCTTAAAAGCTCGAGCGAGCGGCGCGGGTCGATCGATCCTTGCGTACGGAGCCTAGCGTACACTTGACTCCATATATACATGTATAGCTATATCTAACTATATAGGTAGGTAGGTAGGTAGAAAGGTACATATAGCGATCCGTCATCTCGTCGGTGGCGGGCGACACAAAGCTCTATATCCTGTTTTTCTTGCTAATTGGGTCTCCCGACGCTGGCGCGTTACCAAGGCAACCCACCAGATCTGCGGTCTTATATACGCTAGACGCACAGCAGCAGCAAACCTCGGCAGGCTGTCCTATATATGTGTGCGTGGCTGCGATATACACATTTGCCTGGCGCGCAACAGCCAACGGAACAGCCAAAGAGAACGGAAAAAGACCGAGCTGCTCAAGTGCAATTCCACAGAGTGCCTAGTGTGTAAATGGTAATTCAATATGCCGACGCGCACATGTATCGAAAATAAGTGCGTATAATAGACTCATTAGCCGAACAAATGCGACGAATTAAGGAGTTTCGCCTTTGCTGCCAGAAGACGGCTAGAGTACAATTTCCTTCGCTCGTCGCTCATGTGCAGCTCGTGCGGAAGGTAAAAAAAAAAAGAGTGCGCGCCATAGTCAGGAGTACAATGAAATAGTAGCTGGTGCTGAGGTACAGCGGCCTACGCGCGCATACCCTGCCACGGAGAAAAAAGGGCGTGTTCGAAACAAAAACGCAGCTGTCAATCTGCCTTAAATTCGCGCCCAAAAGGGCCCGTGCGCCAAAGGCGTGCGCCGAGATATCCGAGAGGGGACCCCGAGTAATTCAATCGTCGCGCGAAGGCATGCGATACATTCAACGCGTTTTAATTATAAACGAATTCGCAGCCATTATTGTAGGCCAGTGCGCTATGTGCCTCGCAAGGTAGCATACCAGTCGCACGGCGTATTAACACCTAATTAAGACGGCCTTTTCGTCTCGCGACGCGCAAGAAACACAATGAGGCTTGGCATGCGGCATGCGCGAACCAAAAATACCATTTGCGCGTTATTGTGCATTATCGCGGCTTTTGCACAAAGTGCTCTATTCTAATGTTTCACGCGCTACATCTCAGCTTCGTCTCGACGAGGGCTCAAAAGACTCGCTCGAGTACGCTAATCTCGCTCTGAATATAAAAATCTTTATTTCCAGCGTCAATTTGGCATCTTCCTCTCTGCTTTTTTTGTAGCTCTTATTTTTCTGCCAGAAACTCGGTAGAGGCCAACTTTCTCGCGATTTCGCACAATGCCGAGCTGCGCGTCCAGGTGCACGACGCGCACGATTGTCGGTATAATTAAAAAGAAATTTGCTCAGGTGCAATCTCATGTATGCGTGTTTGTGTGTGTGTGTGTGTGCGTTTGTGCGCTGGCGTGCGCTCATATACATCCCGTATAATGTACAAACTCGTCGTCGGTGGATGACGAGACACTTTTGAAAATACCAGTTGGTTTAAGTTGTCAACTTAATCGACAATTTTTATGGAAGGAAAATAGTTTTTAATCATAATACAGCTTAAAAAATTTTGTCAAAACAAGACGTAAATTTCAAGCGATAAATTGGAAAAACTGCTGGGCAAAGATTGGATGTTACGCGACAAAAGTCCATAGCCCCCAAACGTTATTTCTTATCAAGGTCGAGCATCTAAAGGAACCCCGTCCAAAGGACTGCTTGCAGCGTACGAACGATTGCCCTTATGTCGTGTAATTCGCGTCAGAGCATCCAACTTTTGCCTCTCTCTCTTTTCGATATAAAACAATCGCGATGCAGAGTCGATTGTATTATTATCTCTCCTCACCAGGGACCGTATTTATATACATATCATTTTAACAAAATCTATGAAGCGCTTCTTGTCACGGGATACGGAGCTCGGGGAGCTCAGAATACCCAGGAATAATGTACTTTTCAGATTATATGCACATGCGTGTATGCTCGTATGTAGTACACAATATGCACAGTACCAATAGCTAAAAGCATGTGTGTATCGCTGTGCACAATCGGAGTCTTGCTTTGCGTATACGTATATAACGAGGTCTTGATACATTTTCAGGGACAATGGGTAATAAGACACCGCAAGACCCATGTGAATGAGCGAGTGAGAGAGAGAGAGAGAGAGAGAGAGAACAGGGTGCAAGCTTGCTCCCCAATTTTCTCTCCAGTTCCCAATGTACATATTATAACATTCGTATTTTATTTCTTTTTATACTTTTAGCTGCTTCGTGCACACTCGCATGCTCTTTAATAGCTACTAATAGAGACGTTAAAACGATATCATACAGGCCCTGATGACGATGCTCAGTTTCACTCGTTCGCGCAACTTTCAATTCGATAGGCCTTTACTTTTCTTTATTTTATACTACGTCCTCGAGTATTACGAAGGTCTATCCTGGACCGAGTAACTCGCTTTTTTTGTTTCGTCGATGCATGCATGTAGCCACAAAACTCACAAACACACGAGCCGATCTGCTTCTTTTCGATACGCGAGACTCGCCCCTCTTTCGTTCCTTCCAACTCGATGCAGCCAAGTTTTTGTGCGCCAAGGATTTCTTGGAAGATCTCGCGCCTAATTGAGATACACGATATAGCTGCCTATAAAAAGGGCTCGAGGTGCTAATATTCGGATGAAACACGCGATACGCCGAGCACAGTAATTTTCGTATTTTCTTACTCGAGCGAGGGGGTGAGAGCGGTGTACTGTGTCATCGCACGAGCCTGGATTTCTCACTGCGTCCCTGTACTCGTGCACATGATACACGCACTCTCGACTCGTGATTTGTCACTGTGCTTTGCTCGAGAATACGCAGAGTAACCTGCGGCCCATCAGCATCGGGCAGGTCTTTCGAAACAAAGAGAGCAGCTCGCTCGCCACGACGATGATCAGCACATTTTCGAAAACAAGCCTCGGTAATGCCGCCGCTGCATCGTCGAGAGCACGCGCGAGCTCGTTTAAATTTTTTGCCTCTTCTCGGCGCGATGACGACGATACTTTGCACTGATTTTTTCACCCGATACGCCCGGACATTTTCCATGATACCTTGTGTCTACACGAGCAGACAATGGCGCCAGACGCTACTACTCGTCTCTCCCGTGGCCGTGCATATACTTTTTCCAAATACCCATGTATTTTCTCTCTCTGCTCGTTGAGAAAATATCGCGACCGAGTGATGTGTAGACGAAAGTTTGTTTGCTTTACAGTGGGAAATTGCGCTCGAGCATCGCACTCAAAGTGCGCACTGCCGGAGAAAAGACGAGTGGAGGGACTGACGAGATGATGGTTTTAAAATTGACTACCGCCTGCCACTTGAATTGCCATAATGTAAGACAAGAGAGAGAAGAAAGATGGAGCGGCCGAGCAGTAGCAGGTCGATCGAGAAAACGTGATTTTAATTGATCTCTCCGGCTGATGGAGTACACTTGTCGATGTTTTCGGGGGCTAATACACTTGACGCTTGGAACAATAATAACGAGGCGCTGCCGAGGTCAGAATTCAAATCGCTTAACCAGCAATTATTGCCCATGTATTCGATCGTTGGAGCATCTCATAAGAGTGCTCGGCGCGTACGCCTGGAGGAGGCCTTTTGCGTACACGCTGCCGAGGAAGCTGCTACTGCCTCTCGCTTCAATGGTCGAGCCGACCGAGACG